GAATTTTATTTCACAGCCAGTTAGCCCCTGAATGCACTACTGCTTACTTCTTGGCTGTAAGTGTCTGATGGAGAATTTTATTTCACAGCCAGTTAGCTCCTGAATGCATTACTGCTTACTTCTTGGCTGTGTCTGATGGCTTTAAGTTTAGTGGCAACCTGACTAAGGCAAACGCTAGCCACCTCACACCTTAGTTAACAGGCAGCTACAGTGTCTGCAGGTAGAGTAGGTAGTGAGGGCATAGCCTTCTTCCTCTTCTACACAGCAGTTGCGCTGGATGCTAGCCCAACAGCTACCCCTGTACCCATCCGTGCCTGAGAAGTATGGAACACCACTACCCACGTTCTGCACATTAAGATTTTGACATGCCCTTAGGGTTGCCACTTGTGGCAGTGAGCCACAGTCTTAAAGAAAATGTAACTTTCTATGGAAGCAAAGCCTAGGGTAATAATTACCAGGAGAGTTTCTGCACCCTCAAACTTGAGAATTTTAGGTATCAGTGCTAAAAGGAACTGAGAACTCCTGTTCTGAACAATGTGTAGTATGAAGTCATGTTTGACACAGCCTTTTGTCTGCAGATTACAGTGTGACTGCACACTCCAAGCTGGTCATTGTCACTGCTGGGGCCCGTCAGCAAGAAGGAGAGAGCCGCCTTAACTTGGTCCAGCGCAACGTGAACATCTTCAAATTCATCATTCCCAATGTTGTGAAATACAGTCCTGACTGCAAACTCCTCATTGTCTCAAACCCAGGTTTGTCCTGTGTTGCCTTAGTAAGAGGATTTGGCTTAGAGAATAGTGTTTTCTTCAGTAAGGTGGCACTAGTATGCTGATACCGCCAAGCCTAGGCTTTTAGAAAATACCACATAACCACGTTGTAAGAAGTGTCACCTTCCATCTCTGCACTCGGCAGGGTGGTCCTCTGAGAAATAGGTGAAGTTCCCTCCAACTTGGGTCTTCAATTGCCTTTTAAGTGATCTTTAGCACAGGACACAGTGAGGGGCGCTGGTAACTGCACGCGTAGCATGAAGAAATAGGTGAAGTTCCCTCCAACTTGGGTCTTCAATTGCCTTTTAAGTGATCTTTAGCACAGTGAGGGGTGCTGGTAACTGCACATGTAGCATGAACAGCCTCCGTTCTGCCCTTCCAACAGCAGCTGTGTTAGCCCACCGCAGGGCCTGGCGACGGGCACTGCTTCATGCTCTGTTCCATGTAACTAGCATGCAGGTAAAATCCCTACAGATGAGCAGAAGATACTGTCCAGGTTATCATCAACCTGCTCACGAGTGGCACTTGTTATCCTCCCTGTTCTACTTACAGTGGATATTTTGACCTACGTGGCCTGGAAGATCAGCGGCTTTCCCAAACACCGTGTTATTGGTAGCGGCTGCAATCTGGACTCTGCCCGCTTCCGCCACCTCATGGGAGAAAGACTGGGCATCCATCCTCTGAGCTGCCACGGATGGATTGTTGGGGAGCACGGAGATTCCAGTGGTAAGGGTGAAATCTGGCTGGCTGTTAACACAGAACTTTTTCTGATATTTGGCAAGAAACACCTCCAAAAGATACAGCAAAATGTTGCTTAAAAATGTTTGCACTGCAGCACCTTCGGAATGAAAGTCCTGCTTTCAGCCTCCTGCTGCACAAAGTAACCCTAGATGATCTATATTTGACCCCAGTTACTCTGCCTGGAAAAGGTCATTACTGTAACCTGAGGAGGCTGAACATTTCTAGGCTAAGTTGTTCCCATAACTCTCCAAAAAAAAACCAAACTGAAGAAGCAAGAGGGTAAATGTCTCTGCAAGGGACTCCCCAAGATCTGCAGCAGACCTGCTGGCAGACACTCGGATGTCGTTACTGGCATCTCTTGATTACTTCAACAACTATATATAGGAGTTGAAGTGCAGAGGCATGGTTAGAGGACCGGAGAAAGAGAAACTTTCTCCTTACTTAACCTGTACTTTCTCTAGCTGCCCCAGAGCAGTACTGCCTGCTTCCTCACGCTCAGGAGGACTCCTCTGGAATCAGCTCTTACTTTGAGAAACCTCTGCAGAATAAGGGTTGCTATTACATTAGTTCACACTGCCTAGGTGTTTGCTTTGACAAACCTTGTGGCATCGTGTATAGGAGGTGTTTATAGGCTCCCAGGTTCTCAGCCCGCAATCGAGATTTGCCTCAACAGGTGATGCTGCATTTAAAGCCGTAGCTAAATCATAGTGATGTGTGGAGCAGATCAATCCAACCAGATCTTAGGTTAACTGTTAGTTTTGTCCTCACATTACGTTTTCTTGTGAGATAACTAATCTATGTGTGACTCTCAGTACCTGTCTGGAGTGGAGTGAATGTGGCTGGCGTCTCCCTGAAGGCTCTTCATCCAGACTTGGGAACGGATGCAGACAAGGAACACTGGAAGGAGGTCCATAAGCAGGTGGTGGAGAGGTAAATACTAATTTTTTTTCCCCCAAACAAATGAAGAGCTGTAGCATCTCTGAACTGCAGTATCTGTGTCTGTTACATAAATATCACAGTAACCCAAAACAAATGGCAAGGTGCAGACATACTGTTTTAAGGAGTAATGTAGATTGGGCAGAGTTAACTTTTCACGGTTAGTGAACTTTAAATTAGGGAAGTGCTTTAACTTCCACATTTCCAGTTAAGTGCAGAGAGCAGTGTAAAATGCAAATAGGATTCTTCACTGCCGACTTTGTTTCAGTCCTGTCAGCAAATCCGTCAAACTGCTGATGTCTCAGGATTGATTAAGGTGCCTCCAAAAGCCCTGCTAACAAACTTTTAAGGACCTCAGTTGATGGTACTTGTTTTCTAATGAGTAACTTTGTCTCTGCAGTGCCTACGAGGTCATCAAACTGAAGGGCTACACATCATGGGCTATTGGCCTTTCTGTGGCAGATCTAGCTGAAACTATTATGAAGAATTTGAGAAGAGTGCACCCAATCTCTACAGTTGTTAAGGTGAGCTGCCCCTTTTTGCTAACTTCCGTCTTACTGAGATCTAAAAACCTTGGGAATTCTGAAGAACAGGAACAGCTTTCTAGCTTAATTTCAGCCACACTGGTTGAGTTTTCCTGATAGGAGATTCTATAAAAGAGAGAGACATACACAAATTGTGCCTAACTATCCTTGCCTGCTTTTCAGGGCATGCACGGAATAAAAGAAGATGTCTTCCTAAGTGTTCCTTGTGTACTGGGCAGTAGTGGCATCACTGATGTAGTGAAGATGATCCTAAAACCCGAGGAAGAGGACAAATTGAGAAAGAGTGCGGATACGCTCTGGGGAATCCAGAAGGAACTACAGTTTTGAATCTGCCCAAGCAGTTCACTCCTCGCAGCTTAACGGGTTTAGTGGTTTGTCTTATGTTGCACTTTCCAAGTAGGTCAAATCTTTCAGCGTACGTATCTCAGCTAGAACACACACAAAGCTCCAATCTGAACAAATGAGTTTCCTGAAGATAGCGTTAGGAAACTGTCCTAGGGTTTTCCCTGTTCACAGACACCCATGTTCTTAGCCAGAGCTAGATAACCGAGTCAGTCTTGTACAGTGAAGTGGTGTGACAGAAATCCAGCATTCAAAGCAGCACTGCCTAGAAAACCCTTTGCCTTTTCCTCATCTTGTTTTGATGTTGGCTCAGAACAATACATAACCAATTATTACACGATGGGAAACCAAAGACACACTTCTTGCAGTTAAAGGATTGTCAAGCCAATTGACCAACCTTCTCTGCCAGCTGAGTAGCTTAAATACATCACTGTTGGTAGGTCCAAATGTATTTTCCTAACACTGCTTTGGAATTTTTGTGTATATTTTTTTAGAGAACTGTATTTTTGTGTACTGTATCAGCCTGGCTGTAAGTTCATGTCCTGAGCACGTTTAAAAAATGCCAAGGTTTCTGTATGCAACAAGAGGGCAACTGTCCAGCTGTAGTACCAGCCCCGACACCAAATAAACCACAAACTGTTACTTCTGTCTCCTTGTTGTTCCTGACAGGGCTTTGTCTCCAAAGTGCGGCACCCATCCAAATCAGTCTCCTCACGACACCAAATAAACCACAAACTGTTACTTCTGTCTCCTTGTTGTTCCTGACAGGGCTTTGTCTTGAAAGTGCAGCTCCCCTGGCACCCATCCAAATCAAACAATTCTGTCTCCTCAGTCCCACTCACTCGAACCTCAGTCGGGTCATCACATTAGGGGTGCAGCTACGCTGTTGCGGGCTGCAGGTATTTATGTAGTGAGCGTGGTACAGTCTCAAGGAAGGAATGAAAAAAACAGTAACAGAAGTATTTAAAAACTCCTAACTTACACTTGATTCCCACCTTAATGCCAAGAAGCAGGCTCTGCTCTGTTGATATCGTTAGGGGAGTGGAACAGTACAACAAGGGAAGCGTCTGCTGTACCTCTGACTGCCCAAGAACGTGGGGAGGAAGAAATCTCTCCACAGCAATATCTGATATCCAAAAAAGTCAGTTTGCTGTCAAGCACAAAAAAGCACCTCTGGAATAGCAGCCACGCAGAGAAACACCACCAGAGCTACTCCAAGTAAGGATTAAGTCTGAGACAGACTTTTCATACAGACTGCAGCTGGTGATACTCTAAAACACTTTGTTCTGGGAAGTAAGCTGAAAGTGCGTGTGAAGCAACTTCAGCAACAAAGGAGAAGCTGTAGCTACCATACCGCTTTCCCTTCTATCCAGTGTCACTAAAGGGACACCTGGAAAGAGAGCACATAGCAACAGTGACTGCACAGAACGCTCGTAGGTGGCTGGAGTATGAAGCCCTTTTCAAAGGTTTCAGAAGACCCACAGGACTTACACTTCTCACTACAAGAAGTCTCACACAGCATGTTCATGTGAGCTCCTTCCTCTTCAGCTCCAGTGGTCACGAAAAGCTGTACGACAAACGCTCTGAGACCAAGAAACTTTGTTTTTCCAGCTAGTTTTGCCGAGGCAGCTTACAAAAGCAAATGGAGAGGGAGAGCAGCTGTGGTGACAAGAGCAGCGCCATGAATCCCGACAGCACTCTTAAGCTGGGAGGTGCTCTACAGTCATGGTTTGAGCCCAGCCGGCAACTCTGCACCACGCAGCCGCTCACTCCTCCCCCCGATGGGATGGGGAGGAGAAAATACAAGGAATGGGTCATGGGTTGAGATCACTCACCGGTTATGGTCACGGGCAGAACAGACAAGACTGTTGTGTGTGGGGGAAATCAATCTGATTAGTTACCAATCAAATCAGAGTAGGATAATGAGAGAAACCCAGATCTTACAAACACTTTTCCCCCATCCCTCCCGGTCTCAGCTTTGCTCCCCATTTCTCCACCTTCTCCCCTCCAGCAGCACAAAGGGACGAGGAATGGGGGTTGTGGTCAGTTCATCACGCGTTGTCTCTGCCGCTCCTTCCTCCTCAGGGGGAGGATCCTCACACTCTGCCCCTGCTCCAACGTGGGGTCCCTCCCACGGGAGACAGTCCTCCATGAACTTCTCCAACATGAGTTCTTCCCAGCAGCTGCAGTTCATGAACTGCTCCAGCGTGGGTCCCTTCTGTGGGGTGCAGTCCTTCAGGAGCAGCCTGCCCCAGCACACGTTTCCCACGGAGCCACAGCCTCCTTCAACCACCCCTGTGCTCCAGTATGGGGTGCTCTGCAGGGCACAGCCTGCCCTCTCACCATGGGCTGCTGGGACGTTCTGCTCCAGGCACCTCCTCCCTCCTTGACTTTGGTGTCTGCCTAGTTGTCTCTCTCATCCCACTCCTCTCTCCACTGCAGGCTCCCTCTGTTGTCGCCTCTTAGATATGTCAATCACAAAGGTGCTAATTGGCTTGGCCTTGGCCAGAGGTCAGTCTGACTTGGAGCTGGGGAAGCTTCTAGCAGCTTCTCACAGGGGCCAGCCCTGCAGCCCTTCCCCTGCCACACAAACCCCACACATCTGTACGACATACTGTACTCTGCAGCCAGTGCGGGGTTTAACTAACAGGCTCCTCACTGTGAGCTCTGTCCCAGCTAACACAGCCAGAACCCCTGCTTCCTGTCGCATTCCGGTGTGCAGCACACCACCAAATCCAGCAGCCTTTCCTTGCCCAGCATCTTCTAGTGGGAAAACATACACCAAAGCTTCTTGAGGCTCCCTAAGGTGTACTCCAGCCTGGCTGCGATGGCAGAACAGACAAGTCAGTGTAGCAGTTAAAGCTTACTTCATGAAAACACTCCTCCGATGCCAACAGCCAGGGCAAGCAGCAGGGCCTTGAGATTTTGAGTTTTCAGCTCTCACCGTCATAACAAAGGTCAGTTACACTGCAACGTGAATTCTTCCTGTTCAGGACACTAAAACGCCTTCCAGATCTCAGAGGTAAAGCGAAAGCCCTGGTTAAGCTGACACCGCCTAAGCCAGGCCTGTGTGTAAAGAAAGCACATCGCACACAGCTCTGTAGAGGAAGAAAATACGCAACGAGTTTTATTCAGCGTAAGTCCACCAGCACAAAGATTACAGGAGATAGAAAGTGCATTAATAAAAGCTAGTCTTTACCAAAAAGAAAATATATTATTGATTCAAAATATCTTACACTTGAATGATGTAATAACTTATTCTGGGCACCTACTGATTAAGAGAAGTATCGAGGGAGTGGCTGCTTCGTAAGGAAGCCTAACTTCCCAGTTAAAGCCTGAGAATTCAGTAGAGATCACTGAGTCCAGCAGTCTTCCTTGCTTTCTGCATTAACGCCCTCAGCTGGAACTGCTTGCGAGACAGAAGACGTACGTGCTGCAGAAACGAGGAATAAGAACAGCTGGCTAGTGGGAAAGTCTTGACATGAACTTATATTGCAATACAAATTTACAAAGCATGACACATTCCATGACCCAAACAGGATTGGAAACACAAAATGCATTACTCTCCTAATTAGCCTAATTAGGCCAATTTTCTAGCCATTTTCTTGGCTTAAAATGGCTTGAGGATGGCTACCCAAACGCAATCACTACAGTATGTTTTTACCTGACACATACATTTGGTGTAGCTTTATTCAACATCAAAAAGGGTTTTTCATCTTTTCAAAATAACAATAGATCTGTTTTTATTTCATGTGCCATCACCGTGCACGTCAGTTCAAAATAACTGATTTATTAGACCAGACACTAGGAAAAATTTGAGCATTAAGGACAGCAAAGTGTCCAAGAAGGTCTCTGCTAGAGATGCAGAATTAGCTGGCTTGTTTTTTCCTATGATTCTAACACTGGCTGTCTCAGCAGAGGCATCCACAGACTGCAAGTGAGAAGTGGTCTGAATACTCTAATCTCCCTCCGTTTCTCCAGAATTAGGATGGAAGCCCAGTGGAAAGCCTATGTTAACACTGTTGCACCCATCTAATAGTAAATGACTTCACCTCTATAATGCTTTTAAAATTGGTCTTTTATCTTAATTCTGATATGCCTCTCTTAAAACTTGGGTTTCAACACGTAAGTATTCATGTTCTTACAAGATCCTCTTTACTGAAGAAATCACTACTCAGCTGAACAAAAGAGTTCAAAGGATTTAAACACATTTAAAATGCACACCGCAAGAGCATCCCAAGAATCTTACCTTTAAGAAGACATCTAGATCTATCACTCCACGTCTCAGTGCTTCCCCAAGATAGAAGATGGTGTCTTCAATTGCATTTTCCTCTGCATATAAGTTCAGGATCTGCTTGTAAAGTGGTGCCGTAGGAATAATAACTTCATCTATGTCATTATTTTCTGACTGACTTTCCATTTTCTCTAGGGCAGAACTGAGCTCCTCATCCTTCTTCTTGAGAAGTTCAATGTTCTTGTCAACTTCAGCCTAAAACCAATTAAGATGTTTATTTCTTAGGTCTCCTGAGCTGACTGTCTCCTTGTAACACATGCCAGTATAACTGAATAATGATAACTGACACACCAGTTGAATCTCTACTTCTCTACCTATCTCTATTATGATTTTTACAAAAGAAATACCTACCAATCTGTAGATTCTGGATTCTTCCATTTTAAAAAAAGGTAAAGGCTGTTTTAGATGAAGTAAATCCATCACCAATTTATAACTACAGAGGAGGCATGCTAACAGTCTAAGTATTTTGAAGTTGCCGCATCAGGAAATAACCATTTAAACTAGCTAAAGATAATAAAAGTGAAGTCAAAATAAATATTTTCTTTGCAAATGTGTCTGGTGGAGTTAAGTTCCTATTCTTCCTATCCCTGGAAGTGTTCAAGGCCAGGCTGGACGAGGCTTTGAGCAACCTGGTCTAGTGGAGGGTGGGTGGAACTAGATGATCTTTAAGGTCCCATCCAGCCTAAACCATTGTATCATTCTATGAAGTTTCCTGAGCATGCCTCAAACAAACACTTAACTGTATTGACAGGGAACAAACTATGCTGGCTTTACCCAGTAATGGAAGCTGTAACTACCTGCCTCTGTACAAGACGTACCTCCTTGTGCTACTTTTGAATGTGCCTCCTGATATTTTTATGTCCCACAGCTAACACACTAAAGACTGTACACCACTGTGTTTTTCCTTCTGTCACTCAAAGCCGTACAGACTATTATCATATTCTGCTCCCTCTGTTCCCAGACTGAAGTCCTAACCTAGCCACTTTTTATACGGAAGCTGTGTGGTATGCTGGATCACCCTTCCTGCCTTTGCATCAAACGCTTGCAGGTCCATGATGTCCTTTCTTTCGGAGGTAGGAAAGACTAGAATTACACGCTACATTTGAAGTGGGCACATCCTGGATTTATACAGTGACAGAATGGTATCCCCTGTTCCCTACTCATTATTAATAATTTCCAATTATTTTCTAGAAACCATATCTGAGCATTGAGCTGGTTTCAGAAACCATCAATCCCAAAACCTTACTCCCGAGCAGTAACACAGGGAGCAGATAGACTAAGCAGAGTATGTCAGGACTTAATGAAAAACTGCAGGAATTTCTGAGCATACTGAGTAGGACAGACTCCA